CAAATAAGCTACTTGTCTCAAAGTCAGTTTTGGGACTTCCCTGGTGGTCCAGTGGTAAAGAATCTGCCTGCCAATGCAGGGGACATGGGTTTGATCCCTGGTCTGGGAAAATTCCACACGCTTCGGGGTAACTAAGCCCATGTGCCACAACTACCGAGCTTGCCCTCTCGAGCCCACACGCCACAACTACCGAAGCCCTCGAGCCCTAGAACCTGGGCTCTGCAGCAAGAGAAGCCATTGCAATGAGAAGTCCACGCTCTGCAACTAGAGAGTAGCCCCTGCTGGCTGTAATTAGAGAAAACCTGCACATAGCAATGAGACCCAGTGCAGCCAAAAAAGAAAAAAGTCAGCTATGGGAGGAACCCAAAGCGAGACCCACCTCACAGGCACACTGGCACATGTGTGGCAGACTGGAGTCCAGGGCATTCGATGCCCCCAGGAGTAGTTTTCAATCAGTGATGGTGGGAATTGGTGGGTGAGTACCCCAGGCCCCTCACCCAGGACAGGATGTAACTCTGAGGCAGTGCCCTCTCTGTGGGCTAGAGTCCCAGCAGGACTAAGCTCCGGCAGTGACTTGCTTGGTGACATCCTTTATCTGTGCCTTCCTTTCCTTGTTCATCTTATTCTCTCCCCTACCGGTATTTCCTAGGGGAACCTCTGAAATAAATGACTTGCTCCTGAATCCCTGTTCCAGCACCTGCTTCTGGGGGCCCCAGATAAGACGCGACCCTGGGGTCAGTACCTCCTGTTCTTGCCACCAGCGTCCCTCCCTCAACAGCTTCCTGGGGGCAGGCGGCCTTGAGGTCTGAGTGTGGCTACCACCCCTCCTGCTTGCCTTGGCGTTTGCTGCCTCCAAGCAGGAACAGAACAGATAAAAGGAGGGGCCACCTGGCTCCAGCTCTCTGAGTCTCAGTGTCCTCATCCATAAAATGGGGTCTATCTCACCTGCCTCAGAAGTCAGGGGTTTTGGTGAGGGTTACATATTTTAGGATGCTTTCGAATTGTGGTGCTAGAGAAGACTCTTGAGAGTCCCTTGGGCAGCACGGAGATCAAACCTGTTAATCCTAAAGGAAGTCAACCTTGAATATTCATTGGAAGGACTGATGCTGAAGCTGAAGCTCTAATACTTTAGCCACCTGATGCAAAGAGCTGACTCATTGGAAAAGACCATGATGTTTCAAAGGATTGAGGGCAGGAGGAAAAGGGGACGACAGAGGGTGAAATGGTTGGATGGCATCACCAACTCAATGGACATGAGTTTGAGCAAGCTCCAGGAGATAGTAAAGGATGGGAAAGCCTGGCGTGCTGCAGTCCATGGGTTTGCAAAGAGTCGGACATGTCTGAGTGACTGAACAACAACAAATAACACATTTTAGGACCTAGGGCTGTCATACTAAGATGGAATTTGGCTGTGATTCCTTCCTGCTCTGGAACAACCTCATAAACAAACCTCCCCAGTCTTTCGGAAGCCTGGGGTGCTGGTAGTCTGGATGCTCACCGGCAGGGTAAAGCACAGATCCATGATGAGAAGCAAGACCCCAGCCAGGGAAATGACAGCGCTGACCACATTCATGCCGATGCTGCCGTGAACCTGGAAGGGGCAGGGAGAGAGGCACAGGTGAGTTTGAAGCCAGGCCTGTGGGGAGCAGGAGGAAAGGGGAGCCTAGACAGGAAGGAGGTGGGTGTGGAGAGGCCAGCTTAACCTAAACTCACTGAGGTGAGAAGATTATTCTTTATTCAATAGGCAGAGTCTACCTGGGGCAGGGGCTGTCTTTGTTTGGGAAAATACCTCCATAAGCAGCTGACGGTGCAGGAAATGAGATTCAAAAGCCAGATTGGGAGGAGAGGCGGCAAGGATGCTGAGCTGCTCTGCAGAAGAAATGAGCAGGGTTGTGGGTGATGGTGGCAGGGGGCATCAGTTGGGATTCGAGCATTGCCTTAAGAGAAGGGAGATGAAAGTTCTGGTCCTGATGGAGGGAGCTGGAGTCTGGGCTGGCAGGATTGGCTGGGGAAGGTTTTCAGAACCAGAAAGTCTAGTACTCCATTTTAAAGGATCTGCTGCCCAGTATTGGGATGCTGAAATCTTCCAATCACTCATGATGTCCCCTGCTCACCTGCCTCCCCTGGGGGGTGGTTCTTAGGATTGGAGATGGGGAGGGAAGGACTGTGTCCACTTGTGGGCTGAGGCTGGGAAGGCTGGCAAGCAGAGTAGAGATGGAAGTAGACACTTCAACTGGAAGTCAATCATCAGAACCAGGGGGTACTGGGAGCCCCCCAGGAATTGGTAGGCATCTTGGAGAGGTCATTGGATTTCCCAGAAGATGTGGGACAAGAGTTTGATCCACTTTTGTTAGGGGATTAAGGAGCACTGTGAGCTCAGCTCATGTTGGGGGGCCTGGGGAAGGGTGTCTTAATCCCGTTGAAGGCGATGGAGTAAGGCAGACTGAGGGGCAGCAGACATTTGCCTTGCAGACAAAGGACTGGTCATTGGAAACCCTCCGTGGGACAACCCAGCCCCCTAACTAACCCATGGCTTTCCCATTGAAAAGGCAGAAGAGACAAGAAGCCCTTTGGAGAACATGGAGACGGGGGAGGAAGGACTTGGAGCCAGGGATGAGAGGAGGGCCCTTAGAAGTTCTACATTCATCCCTAAGCTTCTTAGAGGCCACAACAAAAATCAAAACATGCACAGGTGTATCTCTGGCTGTCGAGACAGAGGATGACTTTCTGACAGTGCAAGGGAATTCTGGGTCCCGTGTCTTCTGATTTGAACTCTGAACTGTTCAAGGCTCACACTCCCCTCATTTTTCTAGGTCTAGCCAAAGGGGAGGGCAGGAAGTGCCTTAAAGAGGTGGCTGAAATGTATACACATTTCCACTTGGCCTCTGCCTGACATTCTGCTTAATTCTAGAGCACCCCAAGGTCAGGGTGCTGTGACTACTTGGCCATTTGCCAAAATGCCAGGTGTCTGAGTAGTTAAATGCAATAGGTGAAGGTACAGTGCTGGGATCAGAGGGCTCTGGGTTTAAATCCCGACTCGGCCATGTTCCCGCCGTGTGATCTTAAGTCTTTCTGTGACTCAGTTTCCTCTTCTGCAGAATGAGGATCACAGAACTTTGTAGGCCTGTGGGGACTGAATGAAGTAAGGTATGTAAGATCTCTGAGCCCCGCAGCCAGGACCAGGCCACTCTGGGAGGCTACTGGGAGGCCCCTTCCCCCTGGAGAGTCACATTCTAACTTTGAAGGATGATGAAAGATGGAATTACAACTCACCATGCAAGAACTGTGGTTCTTTTCAGCCTCCACTGAGAGCGAGCCAGAGATGATAAACTACACAGACAAAAAGGAGTAAGAGCCGTTGTACCGTGTGTTGAAAAGACCACAGTCCATTCAGAGGTGTAGCTCTCAGTCTTTAAGGCCTACATACCTTGTTTCTTAAGATGGGCAGCTCTGTTTACCTCCTCTCAACATTTTCACTATCCCAATGGTTAGATGCCACAATACCCAAACTCTTCTGTGTCTAGGTTAAAATCTTTTCCCCTAAAAGCCTAAATTTTGTTTCAGGACGCTAGACATCTCATCTTTGTGTCTGGTCCCTATTGGGCCCACAGCCTGGGCACAGGCATCACCCAAACTCATGGATCATCTGGCCTCACGCTGCCCTATTCTCAACTGTGATCTGGGAAAAGCAGGGACAGGGTAGCAGGGTGAGCAGAGCTTTGGGGCTGGGAGATGGGAGACCTAGGCTTCTGCTCTACTCTTGCTTCTCACTTACCTTGCTGTGACCCTAGGCAAGATGCTGCCCCAGCCTGGGGGTCCTAACTGGCCCTGGATGCTGCGAGACAGGTGACAGCTATGTGAACCCAGAGGCAGGAAGAACTTGGTCCAGTTATGAGAGCCCTGAACTGAGGGGGCCTGGGCTCCATCAGGACTTTCTTCCAACCCTTCCTGGCTGTGAGACTGTAGTCATCTTGCCTAACCTCTCTGAGCCCCAGTCTTCTCATCTGGCAAATGGGCATGAACAAACAAACCCTGCTCTTTCTATCTACAAGAGGGTCATGTGATTCTGTGGTTGTTGTTTGGTTGCTGAGTCGTGTCTGATTCTTCGTGACCCCATGGACTGTGAAGGACTGGCTCCCCTGTCCTTCACTCTCTCCTGGAGAGTTCCATATCCATTGAATCGATGATGCTATCTAACCATCTCATCCTCTGCTGCCCCCTTCTCCAACTGTCTTCAATCCTTCCCAGCAACAGGGCATGGGCGAATAAGGGTGGGGTTATAAATGATTTACATATTTACATTCACATCAAACGAGAACCCCAAGAGGGTGGAATAATTAAAGCACGTGATTGGCTTGAGTGTAGCTGAAAGTTCCTTAGAGGCAGGGGGCGAGTTGCTGGGGCACTGGGTCTGGGCTGGGTCCTTAACCCTGTCCTGCACCTACAGTCTTAGGTGGCTGGCTCTGGGCTCCCAGGGCCCTATTATTGGGAGTGCATTCCAGGCTCTTTCTTCCTTCACTCCCCCATCCCGGTCTGATAACTCAGAACCCAGAAGAAGGACACAGGGCCTTATACTCACGAATATTCCTCCCCAGATCAGGTACCCTGACATCGCGGAAAAGGAACGAGAATTTCCCTCATACAGTGAAGGATTGATGGCAGTGAAGATGTGAGTCAGGCCAATGAGGATCTGGATCGCCTGTGGGGAGGACAAGGCATCGTGAGAAAGAGCAGAGCTGGGGGCCTATGGGACTGTAGCTGCTCTTGGCAGCCCAGACTGTACCCCAGAACCCCTGAGTATGACTGCTGTTGGGGCCAAAATCTCTTGGGGTGGGGTCCATGTCAAGGTGTTGTTTTGAAGCTCCAGATGACGCCAGTGTACACTCAGAATTGGGAGCCATGGACATAAAGGGAAGGCGGAGGGGTGGGGGATAGAACAGATCAGGAAGACCTTCCCTTTGGACTCTGCACCTGCAGGCTTGCAGAGAAGATGCCTGGGCGGGGGCTTTGGCAGCAAACCAGCTTGAATCCTGGCTCTGGCACTCTCCAGCTGCATGGCCTCAGGCAAGCACCCTCCCTGTGTCTCTCAGTAAGACAGGGATGACTGTATCTGGCTTGTGGGGTTGCTGTAGACAGGAGTCCCCAACCTCCAGGATCTAATGCCTAATGATCTGAGGTGGAGCTGATGTAACAATAACAGAAATCAAGAGTACAATAAACATAATGCTCTTGAAATATAGTGCTCATCCTGAAACCATTGCCCCCACCCTATCTGTGGAAAAACTGTCTTGCAGGAAACCAGTCCCTGGTGCCCAAAAAGTTAGGAACCACTGGTTGCAGAGATTAGAAAGAGGGCCCCGAAATGACTTCCCTGGCAATACAGTGGTTAAGACTCTCCCTTTCAATGCTGGGGCGTGGGTTCAATCCCTAGTTGGGGAACTAAGATCCCATGTGTCACAAGGCATGGCCAAATTTTTTTTCTTTTTCTTTTTTTTTTAAAGTGCCCATAAAGCTCATAGATAGGTCCTGCCACTTGGGAGGTGTTTGCAAGCCCTCCACCCACACCTTTCCTAGGCCCCACCGCTGTGTATTCCCTGCTGTGGGATCCTCTGTGCCTGCAAGCCTGTGCTGTTCCTCCTTCCCACCTGCTTTTCTTCCCCTTCTGTCTGAAAGGTACTGGCTTCACCCTCATCCTACTGAAATCCCATCTTTCTTTCAACGACCAACTACATCCTTTCACCGACACCCCCACATTCAGGACAAAACACCTCCTATTTGGGGATCCTGCAGCACTTGCTATACCTGAGGACTTGGGGTGACATTTGACTTCTTCAGGCCTCAGGTTGCTCAGGGGTCAAGTGATCAGGGTTGAACAGATGTGTCAGCTCTCATGCTCAATGAGTCTAGAGCTTAGTGTACAGATCTGGGTTTCATGTCAGCTGCTTCATCAAATAACAGCTGATCTTGATCTTGTCTGTGTGCCCACTTTATCTGTATCTTAAAATAAAGGTGTAGCTTCTCCCAAATGGACTGTAGTTCACTAAAGAGAGTCCATGTTTTTGGCCTTTCTCTGTGTTTGATCATGTTCCCCAGGCATTTGCTCTAACTTAAAATAATTCTTTCAAAAGACTTTAAAGTAATTGGAACCCAAAGTTAACAAGCATTTGTCCAGTATTAATTAATAAGGAAAGTAATCATAACATGAATTATAACTACTATGTAATATCATATAATAGCTTCACCTATTGAAGGTTTTCCATATACGTTTATAATCTCACTTCCTGCCTGTGACCAGGATTTCTATTCCTGATACTGTTGACAAAAGAAAATTCCCCATACTGAGGTTTGGGGAAGTCATTCCGGCTTGTACATGATATGCTAACTAAAACAGCCTGTTTATGGCCTATCAAACCTCTATTGTACATTTGCTTTAGTCATTAAAGAAAAGGGCATATTGACCAGAAGTAAAGAATGTCTATGTTAAATAAATATTAGGAATCTCTCTGCTGGTCCAGTTAGGGCTCTACGCTTTCATTGATGAGGGTGTGAGTTTAATCCCTGGCCAGGGACTAAGACCCTGAAAGCTATGCAGCTTGATCCCCCCCCCTAAAAAAAATTCACCTGGAAAATTTTTGGACTTCCATGGTGGTCTAGTGGCTAAGACTCTGTGCTCCCAATGCAAGGGGCCCAGGCTCTGATCCCTGGTCAGAGAACTAGATACCACACGCCACAACTAAGAAAAGATTCAACAAGCTGCAACTAAGACCTGTTGCTGCTGCTGCTGCTGCTAAGTCGCATCACTCGTGTCCAACTCTGTGCGACCCCATAGACGGCAGCCCACCAGGCTCCCCTGTCCCTGGGATTCTCCAGGGAAGAACACTGGAGTGGGTTGCCATTTCCTTCTCTAATGCATGAAAGTGAAAAGTGAAAGTGAAGTCGCTCAGTCATGTCTGACTCTTAGCGACCTCATGGACTGCAACCTGGCACAGCCAAAAAAAAAAGACAAAGAGAGGTGAAATGCCTCCCTTCCTGGGATGCCAATGCTGGTGCTCCTTTAATGATAAGCCTCCCTTCCCAGGTGCATTAGATCCCTGGGTCCAGAAGATCTGCTAGAGACAGGAATGGCAACCCACACCATTATTCTTGTCTGGAGAATTCCATGGACAGAGGAGCCTGGCTGTCTACAGTCCATAAGGTTGTAAAGAGTCAGACATGACTGAGAGGCTAACACTTACTCCCAGGTGCAAAGGCCACACTGACTCCCTGTGTACGTGTTGATCTGTTTTTTTTTTTTTTTAAAGAAATGTACACTTGATCCAACAAGATATAAAACAGCTGACAACCCTATTTCTCCAGAGCAGTTTCTCAGAGTTATTTGAGAGTCTGTCTTCTGAGCTACACGCCTCAGTTTGGCTCAAATAAAACCTTCTTCTATTCCTAATATAGATTGGTTATTTTTGCTGGTACTGTTTTATAGAAGTTAATCCAAGATTTAATTTGGGTACGGTTAGGAGAGTCGGACACGACTGAGAGACTTCACTTTCACTTTTCACTTCAATGCATTGGAAAAGGAAATGGCAGCCCATTCCAGTGTTCTTGCCTGGAGAATCCCAGGGACGGGGGAGCCTGGTGGGCTGCCTTCTATGGGGTCGCACAGAGTCGGACACGACTGAAATGACTTAGCGGCAGCAGCAGCAGGAGGCAAGCAATCCCTTGCCCTTGGTACAGTCCACTGGTTTGTCTGTCCCTGCAGGACCGATGAGGAGGGGTGGGCTGGGGTGTGTGTGAGCCTGGCCTATCCTCCTGCCCCCAGCTCAGGTGAGCTGCTGAGTTTGTGCTCTTCAAGCACCAGGACAATTTATGCATGTCCTGTGGCAATTACCAGGAGGTACTGTAGTTACAGCAGCCCCTCCTAGGTCTTCAAGGATGGTTTCTGGACAAAGACAAGGGAGAGACTGGCCTCTGTGGGGTCGTCCTGACCCAACCTCCCGAAGCTGCCACCTACCTTTGTGTCTTCTGCCCTCTAAATCCATTCCCTTCCTTTGCACTCACTACAGCCGGGCTCATGAAGGGACCCAAACTGGAGAGAAAGAGAGATCACACTCACCCCCAGTGTCCTGACCTCCTCCTTTATGAATTTCTTGGGATCGAACGTAAAAAACGATTCAAATGGCATGTTCCATTGGGACTGGTTGGAGGTATACATCAGCCCAGGAGTAAATGTGGGGGGATTCTGAGGGCCCCCAGGCAGGGTCTGGAGGTCTGTGGTTCCCAGTGAGTACTGGATTTGCCCAGGTGGGGTCTGCAAACTGGCCACTGCTGCCGGATGCTGAAGCACAGTGGGCGGACCCTGTGTGGCATTCACTCCAGCTGGATTCTGGATCACCACGCGTGGCGTCTGTAAGTTCGCTCTTCCTGCATCACTCTCGGTCACTCTGGATGTTAAGTAAGTGGCCATGCCCACAGGCTGCACCTTGCTCCCAGGAGCCACAGGATTCCTGGCCTGGATCATGTACACATTTCCTGGTGCCATAACACCAGGCACAGCGTTGGCTCCAACCCCCTGCTCCGTCATGATGCTCAAGTGCTGCAAAACAGGTAAGAAGGTGCATTTTCCCTCCTCTGAGAAAATTAATATGTGCTGCATCTGATCCCATCCTTATCTTTAGCTTCATCTTCATTAAAATAAAAATCACCAAAAATAAAAACATGTCCATAGGATTCTCCAGGCAACTATACTGGAGTGGGTTGCCATGCTCTCCTCCAGGGGAATCTTCCTGACCCAAGGACTGAACCCATGTCTCTTATGTCTCCTGCACTGGCAGGCAGGTTCTTTACCACTAGCACCACCTGGGAAGCCCCGACAAGCTGAGAGGCCTGGAGAATTTCTTCATTATCTGTGCTGATGAGCAAGTACACCATGGGTGGCGGCGGAAGAGTAGCTTCAGACTCTGAAGACACTGACAGGTGGAGAGATTTCCCATTCAGATGAGAGAAAAGGCCCCTTATATCATTAATGTTGATATTAACTGTTAATGTTAATTGCTGCAGCTGCTGATCTTGTCTCTCCACCTAAATGATACACTCCCTGCTGGCAGGAAACTGAATTCTACATTACTAGATTCCAGATAGCATCACCGAGTCAATGGGCATAAATTGAGCAAACTGGGAGATAGGGGAGGACAAAGGAGCCTAGCAAACTAGATTGCAATGAGTCACACACAACTGAACAAAAACAACAGATTCCAGAAGTCTGCTATCAGGGAGCTTTCTGCTCAATAGAAAGTGCCTCTAAGTCACACTTACAAAATGAATTCCATCACATCCCACCCCACCATGATCCTAATTGCTTCCAGAAGGAGAGAAACACTCTGAACTATCAATGACCAACCTGGGTTTGGCTGGCTAATTAATTGGCACTATTTAATATTAATAAGCTAAAAAGTAAACTCAAAGGCAAGACAGCATCAGGGCTAAGACTTCAGACATCTTTGGGTCCTTTTCCCAGTCCCTTCATTTACTAGTTACACAACCTTGATCAGTTGCATGAGTTCTTTAGGCTTCAGTTTCCTTATCTCTGACAGGTAGATCATAATAACACCTTTCTCAGAGGGTGTCATCAGGATTAAGTGAGAAAGCTTCCCACACAGAGCCTGGCACGGAAGAAATACTTAACATCTGTTTGTTGATGAGTAGACACCATTCTTGGGCCTCCCTGATGGTTCAGCAGTAAAGGATATGCCTGCAATGCAGGAGACTCAGATTTGATCCCTGGTTGGGAAGATCCCCTGGAAGAGGAAATGGCAACCCACTCCATTCTTGTCTGGAGAATCCCATGGAGAGATGAGTCCGACAGGCTACAGTTCGTGGGGTTTCAAGAGTCATACATGACCTAGTGACTTAAACCACCCCTACCACCACCTTCGTGGAGAAGGGCCTTTGTTTTGAACATATTTCCTAATTGATCTCAAACTCATTTCCAGTACCTACAGCCGTGGATCTCAAAGTGTGGTCTCTGGACAGGTGAGACTGTTTCACTTGGGAACTTATTAGAAATGTAGATTATTGGTCCTCTGCCTCAGTTCAGTTCAGTCGCTCAGTCGTGTCCGACTTTTTATGACTCCCATGAACTATAGCACGCTAGACTTCCCTGTCCATCACCAACTCCCAGAGCCGGCTCAAACTCATGTCCATTGAGTTAGGGATGCCATCCAATCATCTCATTTTCTGTCATCCCCTTCTCCCCCTGTCTTCAATCTTTCCCAGCATCAGGGCCTTTTCCAGTGAGTCAGCTCTTCACGTCAGGTGGCCAAAGGATTGGAGCTTCAGCTGCAGCATCAGTCCTTCCAATGAATATTCAGGACTGATTTCCTTTAGGGTTGATGGGTTTGATCTTGCAGTCCAAGGGACTCTCGAGAGTCTTCTTCAACACCACAATCCAAAAGCATCAGTTCTTCAGTGCTCAGCTTTCTTTACGGTCCAACTCTCACATCCGTACGTGACCACTGGTCCTCTGCCTAGACCTACTAAATAAGAAGGGCTTCCCAGTGGCTCAGATGCTTAAGTGTCTGCCTGCAATTTGGGAGACCCAGGTTCAATCCCTGGGTCAGGAAGATCCTCTGGAGAAGGAAATGGCAACCCACACCAGTACTCCTGCCTGGAAAATTCCATGGATGGAGGAGCCTGGTAGGCTATAGTCCATGGGGTTGCAAAGAGTCAGACACAACTGAGCGATTTCACTTTCACTAAATAAGAACCCCCCAAGTCTGGGGACCAGCTGTCTGTTTAAAATGGGGTTTTTTTATTGTGGTAAAAGATATATAATATAAAACATACTATTTTAACCATTTTAAGCATATATAACTGTACAGCTCAGTGGCACTAAGTGCATTCACATTGGGGTGTACATACACCCCAATATTCATTGCAGCACTTATTACAGAGCCAGGGCATGGAAGCAACCTAAATGTCCATCAGCAGCTGAATGGATAAAGCAGATGTGGTACATAAATACAATGGAATATTACTCAGGCATAAAAAGAAAAAAATTGTGCCATTTGCAGCCGTCTGTTTTAACTTACTCCCCAGGTGACTCTGAGGCTGGTGAAGCTTGAGAACCACAGTGGTATATAAATGTCCTACACATCTTGTTGGTTTAATTCCTTTCTCTTAGACCCTAACAGGTAAAAATATAAACTATATAGAGCTCCAAGAAATTCCCAAAATTTTTCTTATTTTAAAATCTAGGGACTTCCCTGGTGGTCCAGTGGTTAAGAATCCATCTTGCAATGCAAAGGAGTCCTGGTTGGGGAACTAAGATCTCATATGTCCTCAAGGAGCTAAGACAGTGGGCTGTCTGATGCAGCCAAGTAAATATTTAAAAAAATAACTAATTTAAAAAATCTAGCTGGTCTCTCCAGTTCTCCCACAAGAGCAACAGCTTTCACTGGTCTGTCAACTGATAGTTCAGGCACTCACTGTGTCTCCTCACTTTTTTTTTCTTTTTTAAAAGCATTTGTTCTTTTTCTTTTCTCTCCCATTATTTTTTATTCTACCTACATCCCTGCAAACAGGGAGATGGAGTCTTTGAAGGTGAAATAACTTGCTTGTGGATGAATGGATTTGAGACTTGAATTTATTCTTTCTGACTGCTATCTTCTTTTCACTATTTTTTAATTAGTTTTTCAGAAAGAATGCTCTCTCTGCCAGGTGACATAGGAGTGGCAGAATGTTTGGCAGTGTCAACTGAGATGGACATACGCAGCATATGCCACTTCTGCCTTGACCCTGATTTACCCCTTGCTTTCTCAGAGGAGCTTCAGATTTCCCATAAGGCTGGTTCATAATAACAACTACAGCAAGCATCGGTGTTTAGACTCCACAGCCCTGTAGGCATCAGGCAATTCCTCCAGCTATATATCACTGCTGTGAGCATTTTGCAGACAAAGTAACTGAGGTTAAGAGAGGTTAAGTAACTCAGGTCATAGACACACAGCTGCTGCTGCTGCTAAGTCACTTCAGTCGTGCCCGACTCTGTGCGACCCCATAGACGGCAGCCCAACAGGCTCCTCTCTCCCTGGGATTCTCCAGGCAAGAACACTGGAGTGGGTTGCCATTTCCTTCTCCAAGAAACACAGCTACGAAATGCCAAAGCTGAGATTTGAACCCTGGACCGTCTGCCTTCAGTTTTCATAATGGATACCACACAGAATGTTATAGTCTGCTACATGATATGAGAGAATGGATTATAGCTGTCTCCCTTTTTCAGAACAGACTTTCTTCTTACGTGTGTGATAAATAATAAAACTACAAACCTGGCAACTGGCAGAGGCAGCTGGATCCTGTGATAGACTCTCCCAAGACCCTTTTAGTCCCCGCTGCCGTCAGGAACAAGGGAGGGGGTTCTTTAGGAGCCTTTCCAATAGTTCTAGATCTGCCCTATACCTGATCACACTTTAATTACAGCTGGACTCAGGGAGGGGCAAAATGGAGATGTCCTGTGGCGTTTCCCACCTTATATCTTAAGGTATCTGGGTTCACACAGAGATATGAACCATCTCTGAAACCTGTTCTGTTTCTTCGCTTACCTCCTTAGCTGGCCAGACTCTGCATCTCCAAGGTTAGGTGGTTGCAAATTCTGTCTCTGTGGACTGCGCTGGTTTATCTTAAATGCTTTTATGAAAAGGTATATACATCATATACAGACCCCTGATTTATGGCATTTCCCCAGAGACCCTACTCAGGGCCCGTCTAGGCCCTTTGTCTCCCCTAGTATGGTCCAGTTTCTGTGAGAACCAAAGAGAGGAATTCATAGATATCTTACCTGGTCGACCCAGTGAGCCTTTCAATGTTCCTTCTTCTGATCCTGTGGGCCTCTGAAACCTGGCCTAGACATTTCTGATAAAAGAAAGTTTGGTTTCTCTTTGAAGCTCCAAAGTCTTGTTTGAATTTCACTTTGAGTCAAACAATGAATCCATTCCCTGGCTTCCAAGTTGATCTCATTTGACCTTCAGAATATTTATGGCCTTGATTGGGTAGGAATGAGGTTCCATGGGCGTTTCAGAAGTGGGCCACTAAGATATCATAAGCCAAAAGATTTATAAGCAATTTTAGGAAGTAATTAACAAGTATTTACTGAGTGTCTTCTGTGTGTTGGATGGTATGTTACATGCTGAGGTACATAGATTTCTAGAAGTTTACAATGACTTGGCAAGATAGAATCTAACCATTGTCAGATAATCATAGTATAGGCATACCTTGTTTCATTGTGATTGCCAGATATTGCATTTTTCTTAATCAGTTGAAGGTTTGTGGCAACCCTGCATTGAGCAGGTCTGTAGCACTATTTTCTCATTAGCATTATTTTAAAATTATGGTATATTCCTTTAGACATAATGGTATTGCACACTTAATAGACTATGGTGAAGCATAAACACAACTTTTAGTTGGGAAGTAAAAAAATTCAGTAGGATATTTACTTTTTGGAAGGGGTCTGGAACTGAACCCACAACATCTCTGAGTTGTGCCTGTACAAGTTACAGCTGGAAACAAACAAAGAGCCAGGCCATCAGTGATAAAGTAGGTGGAAGACATGTCAAAGCTATCAGCCTCTTTCTCTCTCTTACTTTCTTATTAACTCCAGATCACCAGGTTCCGGTCCATTAAAGGACCCATACTGCAGAGAAGGCATGCCTTAAATCTGTGTGACAAAGCTTCCTCTTGTTTACCTCCCATAATCAGCCTCCTCACATCTTCCTCTCTTTTCTCTGGAGCAGAAGATGGGATTTAAGCCTGAATTTTGAGTCACCTCTGAGTGTTACTCATTTTCCCCTACATATCTTCTATGTACACAGTTCAGTTCAGTTCAGTTGCTCAGTCATGTCTGACTCTTTGCAACCCCATGAATCACAGCACGCCAGGCCTCCCTGTACTTCCAAGGAGTAAGCATCTTTTAATTTCATGGCTTCAATCATCATCTGCAGTGATTTTGGAGCCCCCCAAAATAAAGTCAGCCACTGTTTCCACTGTTTCCCCATCTATTTGCCATAAAGTGATGGGACCAGATGGCAGTTTATGTGATAAGCTTGTTTTTCTCTTGTTAATCTGTCTTTTGTTTCAGGGGCTCCAGCTGAGAACTTAGAAGAGTAAAAAAGGAAAGTTGTTTTTTCCTCCTCTAAAATGTCCACCCTGATTATTCATTGGAAGACTGATGCTGAAGCTCCAATACTTAGGCCACTTGATGTGAAGAGCTAACTCACTGAAAAAGACCCCAGTGCTGGGAAAGATTGAAGGCAGGAGGAGAATGGGACGACAGAGGATGAGATGGGTTGGATGGCATCACCGGATCAATGGACATGATGAAGATGGGAGATGGGAGATGGTGAAGGACTGGGAGATGGTAAAGGACAGGGAAGCCTGGCATGCTGCAGGTCATGGGGTTGTAAAGAGTCGGACATGACTGAGCAACTGAACAACTAACTCTTCAAGACCCATCTTGAAACCTGTCTTCCATGAAGACTTCCTTACACTTTCCAGTGAAAATAAATCTCCCTGAGACTCAAATGTCTCAAATGTCAACTGCCTGGGGATGGGTTCTGATTATTGCAGCCTTGTAGGATCACCCTTTTCCTTTAGGTTCCTATTGTTGGGGCTGCTGGGAGGAGGGCAAGAGGAATTCCATCTTGAAGACTGTCAGCCGTCTTAAGGCAGGATGAGAACTGGGCCTGAACCCGGTTAACCATCATTAAAGAAAAACCAGGAAACCACCTCCTAACAGATGGCGAACAAACATTGGAAGTAAAAGTCAGGTTGTCTCAGTTAGATTAACAACAGTGCCTGCACCTGCATGTTGTAATTGTTAATTTTTCCACCCATGTACATTGTAAAACTAATTACTAACGTGTAACCAGTCATGTAGCAGAGGGTATAAGACCAAGTCCTCCGAAATCACCGGGGTCCCTGTTGGGAGCCGATTCCCCTTGGACCTGCTGGTGTAATAAACTGTACTCCACTGTTTTGAGTGTCCTCTGAGGTGTCTTGTGACTCCAGATTCTACAACACTATGGGCTAGCTAAAGCCCTGTCATACATATGGTGGCCTCACTCCCAACAACTTGGAGGACTTGGGTTGTGGATTATGCTTTTCTTAGTCACCTCTTGCCTCAACTTCATGCTTTATACATTTCTGATCTAGGTCATACCTCCCTTTTCCAGCTGTTTCTCCAACCTGAAAGAATTCAGTCACGAAACACAGCTCTTTGTTATAGGTTGAACTAGATCTCTTTCTGCAACATCCCCCTGCCCAAATATGTTAGAATCCCTTGGACATCAAGAAGATCAAACCAGTCAATCCTTAAGGAAAGCAATCCTGAATGCTTATTGGAAGTACTGATGCTGAAACTCCAATATGTCAGCCACCTGATGCAAAGAGCCGACTCATTGGAAAAGACCCTGATGCTGGAAAAGATTGAAGGTAAAAGGAGAAGGGGGTGACAGAAGATGAGATGGTTAGATGGCCTCATTGAGTCAACGGACATGACTTTGAACCAACTCCAGGAGATAGTGAAGGACAAGGGAGCCTCACATGCTACAGTCCATGGGGTCACAAAGAGTTGGACACAACTTAGCAAGTGAACAATGACAACAGCCTCCAGTACCTCATAATGCAACCTTATTTAGAGACAGTTTCATTACAGATGGGCTTCCCTTGTCACTCAGCTGGTAAAGAATCTGCCTGCAATGCAGGAGACCTGAGTTCGATCCCTGGGTTGGGAAGATCCCCTGGAGAAGAGAAAGGCTACTCACTCCAGTATTCGGGCCTGAAGCCTGTATAGTCCGTGGGGTCTCAAAGAGTCAGAGATGACTCGGTGACTTCCACTTTTGCTTTGACTTCCCTGATGGCTCAGATGGTAAAGCATCTGTCGGCAATGTGGGAGACCTGGGTTTAATCCCTGGGTGGGGAAGATCTCCTGGAGAAGGAAATGGCAACCCACTCCAGTATTCTTGCCTGGAAAATCCCATGGACAGAGGAGCCTGGTGGGCTGCAGTCCATGGGGTTGCAAAGAGTCAGACATGACTGAGAGACTTCACTTTCACTTTCATTACAGAAGTAATCAAGTTAGAATTAGGTCTTTGAGGTGGTCCTTAATCCAGTAGGACTGGTATCCCCATAAAAAGGGCAAATTTGGACAGAGGCAGATATACACACAGGGAGAACATGATGGGAACTTGAAAGCAGAGACTAGGGTGATACATCTACAAGCCAAGATTGCCAGGAAACCACCAGAAGCTAGGCAAGAAGCATGGACCTGACCATCTATCACATCCTCAGAAAAAGCTAACCTAACTGCCGTGATACACTTCTGTTGTTTAAGCCACCCAGTTTGTGATACTTTGTTACAAGCTTGGAAAACAAATGGACCGCAATTTTCTTCAATCTTCAGTCACACAAAATAGTTCCATGTGGCAGAAATGTACTAAAATTGGAGGTAGGGAGGAGAGCTTGGTAGCAGTGGCAATGCAGCAAAGCAGAGCAACGAACTTAACCTTGGGTAGTGGGTGTCTCTGACCTTAGTCTCTAACCCGTTCCCAGCACAGACAATTCAAAGCAGGTTTTCTCTAGGACCCTGGCCATCCTCCACATTTCCAGGATGCCCTCCCCTTCTTCTCTCCCTTTTCTTTTCTGTCTGTTCCTAGGCTTCCTCATGGCCCCTTCGTGCTGCCTCTAGAATCAGTAAATTCTTCCCACATTATGAGGCAGCCTGTTTCAGCCTCCCCAGCTTGGCCAGGCCCTGGAGTGGAAGGAGGGACTCACTTCTCATACCTCTAAAGATCCAAAGATAGTTGAGCTGTCCCTTAAGAAAATTTGCAAAAAAAAGAAAAAAAGAAAATTTGCTGTCACTGAACAAAAATAAATGTTTGCTTTCTCTATACTGTTCTGTTCCAAACTCCCATAGCATCGTAATTCTATAGCATTATTTTACTTGAACCTCTCTGTGGCCTTGGCCTTCGTTATCTCTGTGCTACTGTTATCTCTCTATAGGTCTGCCCTTCCTGATGAGGCTCTGAATCCCTAAGGCGTTGGATCCAGCTCTTATCTGCAGGGGCTGGGGCTTGTGTCTGATGAATGAGCGCATACATGCCTCAAGGTGGCAAATCAAAGGCAGGAGTCCAGACGAGCTGGAGGATTGAAATCGAACATCTTAAAAAGCAAGCCCTTTGATCAGGGCCTTGAATGCCACTGTCAGAAATCTAATCTTATCCTGGAGGTGCTGGCAAAGAACTTGGCTGAACTGTGTTCCTGACCTGGTGTTTTGTGGAAGGCAGAACTTGAAAGCAATGAAACTAGATTTGGCTTGGTTGAGAAAATTTCCAAACCAATTGTAAGGAGATTAGTTTAGATGGACAATCTCAATGGAAGTTAGGTGCTATTCATCAAGACAATAGTCAGATGTCTCAACAGAAGAGCCAAGATCTGTTGTCCATGACAAAGCATCAATGGAAGAATGATCCTGAAGGCNTGAAACTAGATTTGGCTTGGTTGAGAAAATTTCCAAACCAATTGTAAGGAGATTAGTTTAGATGGACAATCTCAATGGAAGTTAGGTGCTATTCATCAAGACAATAGTCAGATGTCTCAACAGAAGAGCCAAGATCTGTTGTCCATGACAAAGCATCAATGGAAGAATGACCCTGAAGGCATTTTGGAGATCTGCTGGCTCCCTCTCTGCCCCCACTCCAAAGGCCCCGAGTGCAATGTGGCAGGACAATTTTAAAGGCTTATCCTAAGCCAGTGCTACCATTGCAATTTGGAAGCATATAACACATTTGATTTCACGGGTTCACATCTGTAATCTCATCCATGGCTGATTTAGGTGAGACTTTGGACTTAGACTTTTACATCGATGCTGGAATGTCTTAAGACTTTTGGAGCTATTGAAACTGAACAGGACTTGAGAG